TACATCTATGGCAGAATGTGCTATAGCCCTGCGGCAGCGATCCGCAGGCTATAGTACTAGAGCTATAGTAGTAGTAAGTAGTATTACTATTACTTAGCTAAATGGGTCTAAGCACAGGCACTTGTACTTTTAGCTCCAAGAAACGGTATTGCTAGGGTTAGAATACCGTTTCAAACCTTGGCTGCAGCTAAACACGTAGTTGCCTTATTTGCCAAGTATCGCCAAAGAACACTACACATGAGATATACCAAATAAATCAGTATACGTCCACCTTCTTGTAACCATCAGTGCGCTACGATGCGCTGGGTACTTACGGGGTTACAGCGACTTTCATCTAGATCTGCAGAGGTGATAGGTTTTTTGTATGGAAGGGTGTCAGGCTGTATAGACAATCCGTCGCACAGCCTGGTCGGGCTATACCTGGCTTTACCCAAGCTTGGTCACACCTAGACCAAATAATTCTGTCCCATATAACCTTTTTTATATTTTGGTGAGGGTTATATTGGGACAGAACGGGGTTCATTGAAATTTCGTGAGATCGCATGCAAAATGCATGCGCTGCGAATGCGGCCTGTACGCCGCTATTGGCGCGAAAAAAAACCTACCGTTCTCTTCTACATGGCTTTACCTTGCTACTGATATGTGTACATACATTCACTTCAATCGTTATTTACTTCTTAAAAGATTGTTTTTCAGAAACCCCGCTTCATTAACTTTAGTAAATTACGTCGGCCATTTACAAACAATCAGACCAATCACAGCGAGTCTTACAATAGCCCCTGGTTCTCGCTTGTATCTGTGGCGCTGCAGGAGGCCTGATAGACTCGCTGTGATTGGTCTGATTGTTTGTAAATGGCTAACGTAATTTACTAAAGTTAATGAAGCGGGGTTTCTGAAAAACAATCTTTTAAGAAGTAAATAACGATTGAAGTGAATGTATACACATATCAGTAGCAAGGTAAAGCCATGTAGAAGGGAACGGTAAGTTTTTTTTCGTGCCAATAGCGGCGTACGGGCCGCATTAGCAGCTCATGCATTTTGCTCTCTCTCTCTGCCACCTCTGAGCAACTAAATACCTCCCATCATCTCTAAAGAACCATGCACTGCTAGAAATGTAAACAAATATTAAATGTAAATTAATGTAAACCACCACTACCACTTGCTCATGCCTTAGACGCCATAGCTAGGGTAAAATTTGAGCAAAACAATGTGGTGGCCACCCGGTGAATTTTATCTGGACTAAAAGAGGTTCCGGACCATCGGTGTCTGGAAAATCGGTGGTGTACCTGTAGTACTAGGGACGTAGAGAGTGAGAGCCATTTCTTAACTTAATACCATGTCCAATGTCCCAATTATGTATGAATTTATTACTATTATAGCTAATTTTATTTATCATATTTCAGTAATGTTAAGAAGGTGGTGTTTGTGCCATATGCTCTCACGGATCGTGATTGGTATACAGATATAGCTCGTAAGAGGTTCGCAGAGCTTGGTAAGTTTACTCAGACCTGAGATGTTGCTGTGAGCAATATTGGCATCAGTGCTGATAAATGCTATGAAACTGTTATTCATATTTAACATATTTCACATAAAATGAGATTAGTGATGAATGCTTGAAATGCAAGTTGGATTTTTTTGTTTACTAACAATCACATTTCCAATTCAGTAGTGCCTTGTTCGAGAATTCGGCTTATAATTTATTGATCAATTGCATTATTTCAAATTTATCTGTAATAATAATATACAACTGTGTATATATGTATTCATATTTATCTTGTGTTAAATCCAAGATATTAACTTACTATCGAAATTTTCTATCTCCCTTCGGGAAATCTTCATGTGAATTCTGGATGTGACGTCACCATAGGTGGCAGCAGGAGACGTCACAGTGTGTATATGTGCATAATTGGACATTTATTGTACATTATTGGTTATATATACATAGTGAAACAGAATTATTATTATTGTTAATTATAGGTTATGAAGTACAAAGTGTGCATGAATGCAGTAGCCCAGTGGAGGCAGTGGAGCAGGCAGAAGCCATTTTCATAGGTAGATTACAATGAAGGGATTTATAGAGAATAAAGATAAAACTGTAAAGCCTGGCGCACACTTTATAAGTTTTCTACTACGACTTTTTCCAATCCTTATCGCAGGGTGAATTCGGAGCATGTGCTGTCTCATTATCCTGCATTTTTGACCCTGCGATTTTTCCCGCTACTGATCGGAGCATATCAAACTGGTTTGATATCTACCGATAAAAATCGGACGGATAACATCGGACCGTAGCATCTGCGGTGTTAAACGGAAAACCCTGGTTACATGGGCCAATCAGCATCGAGCAAAAATCACATGATCGACAAAATAGCAGCGTCTATGGAAGCTGCGCATTTTTGGGGAGATGACGAAAAGGAAGCATTACTTGTTGATATGTGGTCCAGGGTTAATTAGACAAAGGAGGTAATGGCCAGTTTGGGAAAAAACACGCATGATGGTTTCAATGGCATGCCGTAGGCACGCAGGCGGTCGCTGCAGGCAGACGCGGGGGTAGAGAGGGAGAGGGTGAACTCCCCCTCTCGCTGGGGGGGGGGGGTTCTGTGGGGTCTCCCCCAGCAAAATTGTAAAAATTTGAATGTCTTAGACTGCATTTGAGGTACCCTGAAAATAAAATGACACTATTTTGACAACAGCGGGTAAATACAGGAACATTTTCACAACAGCGATGTTAAATTTGACAACGGCGGTGTGCAACTGTGCCTCTTATGTATAAGAAACCCTGTGGTCGCAGCATAAATGTCTCTATGACACAACATCATCTGAATACAAAGACCGCAATAAGAGGTCACATGTGTTAAATGCTATCGTTGATGCTCTTAACAATGCCAATGCCAAAGTCACATGATCGATTTCGCAACATTTATCCCGATGTTGATCGGTAACCAGCGCACACGGCGTAGCGTGTGCGGGATACACGGATTATTTCCTGCGATAAAATCTGGTGACTAAAACCGTAGCATAGCTTGCGTGTGCGCCAGGCTTAAATTGATTAGCAATACAAGTGAATTTGCATCCAGGTATCCAGAACTTTAACACGTATAACTGTTTTATATATGAGTTCATTGTAGAATAAAGCACTAGTAGATTATTGTCACCAAATGCTAATGTATTTCTAGATTCTTTGATGTGTGTTGCGCATTAGTTTTATAAGGTAATCTATTGTGTTTCAGGTGGAGGCAATACGTTTCGACTGTTGAAGACACTGTATGATGAGAAGCTTGTAGAGCCAATAAGAACCCAAGTGTTGAAGGTATTATAGGGCCGATATAACCCAGTGAACTTAAGTAACCTGATAGACACAAGTGCTGTGTATAATACTCCCAGCATTACCACTAGCAGTGCTACCGATCATGTCTGAAACAGTATACAGTTCAATCTGTATATAAGGGCCATTAAAGCCAAGTGCTCTTTCCAAAAGGGAACATCAAGACACAACTTTAATGAAACATCAAAGCCTTCTCTTATAGAAAGCTGTCTGTTCTATAGAGCTGTTTTTAGCTCATCTGACGAAGTCAGATGCAGCTTGTCGAATCGCATGAGCATCCGTTTGTCTGTGCGTCTGTGTGTCCGTCAACAGTTGGGCACAAATCTTAACCGCTCGACGTACGGTCATGATATTTGGGACGTGGGGTGGGGGGGGGTCGTGAAAAGGACTCGGGATGACCAATTTGGGGGTCAAGGGTCAAAGGTCAAGATGTGTTAATAGAGGAGGAATATTTCCCCCTTATATATAGGAGGAAATACGGAATTGCGGCACAAATCTGCTCGACCTATGCTCTTAATATTCGGTGTATAGTGTGATGGGCAGGAAACCCATCACCAGTGCGAAATTGGAGGTCACAGGTCAAAGAGCAGTGGGGGAAAGGTCAGATATCCGACATTTTCTGAGGACATGGCCTAATGGACAGAGTGAAAAACTTTTTTGTTTGAGCGCTGACCTACCGTTTTTATCACTTTATTGAAAGGACCATGAAATCTACTTTCCGATGACGTGCGAAGAGTAAGTGTTTGATAACCTTTTGACCCTCAAGAGGAGGGTAAAACATGGATTTGTTGACTGTTAACAAATGACTGAACTGTGTTTGGTGGTACTTGTGTGATCGTGGAAGACTTAAATTTCACAGTGAAATTCTGCATGCAAAACTTACTTGAACAACGTTTACGCGCCTTAAATCATATATGAACTTCATTCTCTATATGAGATTCTGTACGTTGGGAATACAATGTCAATAGCACTTACGCAAACGTCTGTTTTTGATTAAGGCCAACTATAAATAGGCCTACCTCGCAGGTGGGTGGCTGATAGTATCACAGCATGGGTTAAACGAAGGTAGCAACTAGTTCGGATTATCTATTCCCTGCACCTAGTCAGTATGCATGCCATCTATCGGAACAGAGTGAGAATAATGTCCCGGCAGGATAGGTCAAATGTATATTGCGCTCAAAAGTGCAGAAATAATTACTTTCTTAACTTCAGTTTAACCAATCTTGAGATAAGTAATTGCAGAAATGAATCGTCAAACCTACCAATGAAAATTTGCCAGTTTTGTACTGTCCTTGGCATGGCTCTCTGCGTCAACGTTACAGTAGTGTGCAATGTCGGGATATGGTGGAGCATGCAGGCTTGTGGACGCTGCAGAGCCTGATGGTTGACTGTCAGTCGAAATGTGTTGATCCTCCCCGACATTGAAGAAATCTGTACGTTATACGTGCGTCTGCCTTACCTCTGCCATCCTCGTCGAAAGTTTGGACGCCGCGCGGCGAAATCGGAATGTACATTTCAATCGATGACGTAACTGATACAGTAGCGCGCCGCGTGGGTGTTATTTGTTTATAAACAATTTAGTCTGACTGACTCTCTCTCTCTCTCTCCTCTCGCCCGCTTTCTCTCTCTCTCCAGCCCCCCTCTCTCTCGCTCTCTCTCTCTGCAATAAAAAAAATGTTTGCTGAAATTATGTGTACGCAACTGCGTATCTGCATATCTGCGTCTAACAAAGGTGTCACTACGCACGACTGAAATTTTGAGTTTATAACCGTAGCAACAGACCTCAGATGAGCCCAGTCGCTCTGCGGCTCTTGTTATCATATACTAGCTGCTCATAGAAAACAGAAGAAGTGTCGTTCATAGATAGGTCTCTAAAACCAGTTGGCAAAAACAAGTCTAAACGTCTAACTGATAGTCTAAATGTTCTCGCAGAATGTTAGCAATATTTTGTTTTATAAAGTGTTGAGAAAACTCTGTAGGATTTTTCATTGTCATAACTTCACAATGAAATATTTGCCAGTGGTCTAAGAAAAAAAGTTAACTACTAATTTTAAGACTAATTTTGTTTCCCCACAACTGCTCTTTTTACACTTTCGCCCCTGCTCTGTAGAGTGTCGATGCTTGCGCAGGTCTGACTGCGTGCGCTGTTCGCGTCTCGTTGTTGACGAACTCTCGCGTCTTGCAGCACAGCATTCCCTACATCGGCTCGAGCGCCGGCACGAACGTCGCTACGGCGACAATCAACACGACCAACGACATGCCAATCACCTGCCCACCGACGTTCGAAGCACTGGCCCTCATCCCGTTCAACATCAACCCGCACTACATCGACTCCGATCCGAGCAGCAAGCACATGGGCGTGAGTACCGGCCGAAGTCTCCCCCCAGCGGCGTGCGAGACACGCCGCGGGAATGCCGATCAGTGTTTTTGTTGGGGGAAGAAGTAGGAGGAGGAATAAAATAGTAGATGGTCATAAACAGTGCAGAGAAAGTGACGAGTGATCGGAAGCGAGTGATTTTGGAGAGCGAAGGTACTTTGGAGATGGCATGTATTTCGAATCGGATGCTTGCACAGTTTTCTCTGCTGATCAGGATATGTGTCATCTTGCAGGAGACACGTGAAAAGAGGATAATGGAGTACCATGAGGAAGCACATTGCAGACCTGTGCTGGCGCTGAGGGAGGGGTCAATTCTGTGGGTGGAGGGCAACAAGACCACCCTCTTGGGTGGTCTGTCTGCACGTCTTTTTAGAAAGTAAGCATGTGGATTTACACCAGTTCTCTGTTGGCTGGTTTGAACAGAAAGGTTAAAGTAATAATTACGAGCATTTTCCAGTGTTTTACCTACGTTCATGATACCTACCGTTATTGCTTGAGTAACAGCAATTGTCTAAAGTAACAATAAGATGTCTTAGAACCTCCGTATTCACCAAAACATGCACGATTACAATTTTGCGTTCTGTTTTTGATTACCGCTGCCCCATCTCTCGGTAGCGCGAGACATCTACGAGGGTGCAGTAATGCAAATAATCGCACCGCAGAAATTTTAGTCCGAGTGTAGACACAGAGGTTCATACTAGCTTCTCTTTTTCTCCAAACTCCAAAGTACACGTCTTACTGCTTCTATGATTGATTGATTTGTGATAGTCACAACAAACTCGCTCACAAAAGCACCTCGCTGCTGCGCTTCACTGCACATGGCAAGTCAATAATTTTTACTACACAGAATCAAATGTCCCTTTGTTTTTAATCAGATGCACTTGTTTTGAAGGCGCCATTTGTATTTCGATCTCGCGACACGATAATATGCGGAGCTGGTAGGATGGGGTCAAATTTATTTTTCTATGCTATAACTGTATAATATCTTAGTGTTTTTAATGTTGGTGTAATTAGTGATATCCGCTGTGAGGTGAGACTATTATTATAGTTTGCGATATTTTTTCAGATTGGGTGTTTCTGCGCAAAAATCTCGTAATAAAGGCTTTAAAACCATCTTGTATATTTAGCTAAGATGGTATATGTATACCACTTTATATTTTACTGGTGTGAATAGCAAGAAGAAAATCGTGCATGTTGATAATGATGGTACATTGAAACTGCTTTGTATTTTACAGGGTTGACAAGATTTTTTGAAAGTGTGAAAACTTTTTTGCACATTAGCAGCAATGGTGTACTAGTATGTGGGTGTAACTTTACATGTGGTCAATCTTGACCGTCGGGTATCTTGTTGCTATTTCAGAGGTGAGCTGCCGGCTGAGTATTCACCAGGAGATGACCTTAGCTTCCTACTGACTGCAGGTCTTTAACTACAGCATCCATGGTAATACGACCGAATAGTTGACATGCTTTTACAGGCATCAACTGACAACACGTTGGGAGTTAATACTGTTGATTACTGTTCTTGTAATTTCATTTAATTTGGCAATTGAAATGTGTGTATGTCTATTAATCGTAGATGTCACGATATATTATGGTTAGGCTCTTGATTATTCTTCTCTCAATTCTATAAAGTTTTATGATTGGAAGGTGCAACTGTATATTAACAAGAGCTAATAATACCTAGAGTGTACAACGGAAAAACGGGAAAATAGTGCTATTTCACGACAACATTATTCTACTTTGCCTGCGAGGTCTTATAATAATTTCATGTATTGCCATTTTAAGCCAGATATTCTTTGCGCTCTAAAAACAAGGATCAACGCTTGTCAATACGATACTCTAGGCGGAGATATGGCCTCCTAAACCTCCCTCCACATGCAAACGCCGCCTCGATCCACTTCGGTCCGCCATCCTTCACGCGGCTAATGTGTTGCTTCAGTGAGAGTTTTCGGTTTTCCGCCATAATTTTTAATGAATGACTTTTCTGGGTGCTAAGGTGCAGGTGGAGCGTGACTTTTTTCGGGTGGCATCGACCATATGCCGCTTACTCTCCCATTATCTTTCCTAGCACGGCTATGCCCGTCATGATGTGAGCGGCATGTTTTTTAATTAAAGCTCTTCTACAACGCAGCTAGTAAGAGCTACACAAATTTGGCCATGTGACATCACATGTATCAGCTGCTCCAAGCGGCTGACGGAAATCGAAGCCCGAAATGCTATAGCGCCGTGAAGGATGCGGACAGAAGTGGATTCGCAGGGGGGGGGGGACCGTGCGTTTGGCATGTGGAGGGGAGGTTTAGGAGCCGATATCTCCGCTAGGAGTTATCGTTATTGACAGCGGTTGTGTCTCTGTTTCTAGAGAGCCAAAGAATTCTGCTTAATGCAATACCATGAAATTATATAGCACTCGCCATGGCCAAAGTAAATAATGATTGTCGTGAAATAGCACCTATTTTCCCGTTTGTTCCGTTGTACACTCTTAGGTATGCATTAGCTTCTTGAGTCATTAATCATATACCTCTGCTTTTTACTACGTTCACAATATATTCATATCATATCATGCTTAGCTACTTGCGCGTGCATAACAGTGATGAATGCTAATATGTTGCTATGAGTTCAAACCGTTCTTTTGGAAAAATTTCTAACAGATTACCACAATACAGTGCGATGTATGTTTTAGTCGTGCACATGACCAAATTGTGGTCTGACTGGCAATTGAAATTGTAATATACCTATTTAATGTCAGCAATTGCCATGCGCCACTGAATCTTTTTCGCAAAGTGGCATCAAACAACAGAGGTTTCCTTTAAGTAGTGTGTATAATTTATGCAGTGATAATCATAAATATTGTAATTATGAACGTTAATTACTTATCTTATAATTATACAGAATACATTTTGCAAATGCTGCTCAGCGTTCATCTGCCATGCGTTTGTTTTTTGTCCCTGATGTTTCATCTGAGTGTTAGAGAGAGGTGAGTGCAGTTGCCTGGCATAGCAAGTCTAGGCGCCGTCATTGCTGAGATTTGACCAGCCTAAAACTCCAGCCTGATGTCGGTGCTGCTCGTCCTACAGATATGTGTTTGATCTTTATTCTGCATAATTTAAGGTATCTCTTCAGTCCATTTTGCGCAGCGATATGTTATAAATACGCAGTAGTTTGATTATATTATATAGCTATATATTACTGTATATATATATATATACATATAATATATATATATATATGTCATATATATATAACTATATATACTAGCTATTTACCTGTTCCCAGATGGTTTAGGGTTGGCGATCTGCATTGGAGGATGGACCCGTTTAACCACTTTATCTCTCACTTTTTAGCTGAGGCATGTATTTCAGCTAAACGCAAAAATCACTGATATTTAGAACTCGGCAAGTCATATATCACATATTTTTTTTTAAATTGTTTATCTAAATATATATTAAATCCTTGAAATTTACCTTAAAATTATATACAATTTTCAAAAAAGGAAATGGGTTGATTTCATTTAGTACAATTTCACTTATTTTAGATAGTATTTTTGAAAATATCATTCTGGTTAGGAAAAGCATCAATAATAAGTCAAATTCTTAAAAAAAAAAAAGAAAGCAAAATGCATTGAACTAGTTTTGGAAGATATATTTCTTGAAATCAGTGCGACGCGCGGCGGCATGACACCTTCCGTGCCTCAAATATTTGCACACGCGCGCACCGCACGCAAACACAGCGCGCATTCACACCACACAACCGCGGCATGGCGCAGCACAATCACACGCCGCCACCACGTTACACACATACCAATTTACACACACCACGCGCGCGCAAACCAATGTACACGCACACGCACATGCACACGCCACACACACGCATACATACTACATACACACACGCACACGCACACGCACGCACACACACATACACATACACATACACACACATACGAACTGCAGCCGTCTCTCGTTGGGCTTTGTCTTAAATTTGCGCCTCACAGCTGCTACGCGGCAGTGATTGGCCGTTTATACACCGCAGCCGCAATGTCTTTGGTGTCGTGCCGTCGGTGCTGCCGCGCGTGCCGCGTGTGCTGTCGCGTGCGTTCGTGCGTAGCGGTTTAGTGCTCTTTTCTATGCTAGGTTAGAAGGCCTTCCACCTACATTAAATCTTTATTATTATACCTTTAATCTACATTTAGCTATAGCCTATATTATCATTAAAAACCCGTGAGAAACACATTATAGTTTAACACAGTTTCAAAAGGTTATGCTATATACAGTCGTGGTATGTGTGCTGCCCTCTTAGACAATCGAACGCGCGTCTAAAATGGGTCAGGCATTGGGAGCGCGGCCGTAAACGCTGGGCACGCGTTACACCTCCCCGTTGTCAAATGTTTGCACACACGCGCCGCCCACGCACGCACACACCCTTATTCACAACATACGTGCATGCCGCACCCACGCCACACTCACTACCACATTTCACAGCACACTGGGCCGCGCACACACATACACGCACACGCCACACAACGCACGCGCGCGCACACACACACACACACACACACACACACACATCACACTGCCAGCGTCTCTCGTTGGGTGGTTTCTCTTAATTTTCCTCACAGCTGTGCGCCGCAGTGCTTGGTTGTTTATACACGCGCCGCAATGGCCTTTGCGTGCTTGCCTGGACGTGCTGTGTCGCATTGCGGATTTGTGCGATCTTAAAATTTTGCGTCCGGCGCCGTTTCCGATGAATGCCGACAGTTTCTTCGTGTGCCCACATTTAACTTATCAAAAAGTTGCCTCAAAAGTCACTTTACATCGATAAAATCTGCTGTTACTAAACGTTCAAGCGGAATGTATTCGGACGTTGCCAGAATGCGGCGCCCCAGCTCGATTCGCGTGAGACATACGTCGGCCACCGGTTTCGGCCAGCGAGATACTGGAGAAAACGACACTTCGGCTCTTTCTACTCCATATAGTATACACTATTACACTATTATATAGTAGATGTATATATATATATATTATATATATAAATCTATTCCTCCTGTACATCTGTCACCCTTTCATCTAGTTGCTCTTCCACATTCTCCATGTTCCCTTCGTCACTATCATCATCATTCATGATTCATCGTCATCGTTATCATCTGCTACCACTCCTCTTCCTGATCCTCCTCTCCCTCCTTTTCTTTTCCTCATTGTTCAACTTCTCCAGGCTTTCAGTCTTCATGTGCAAACTAATCGCGCTAAATGTTGTGCCCCACGGGTACCTTACACCGGGTATAACCCCGGCCCCTGTACTAGGCCTAAGTATCTCCTCTTCCTTAATGTCATAATGTCATGGGGTGCATAGAGATCTAGCTTCATAAAGATACCACACCATGACACAGGGAAATTGGGTAAAGTGACACTGCATGGGCACCTTAGCATTTCGTCGTTGTGTTTCATGGTTGATCAAGCTTTAATTCCTACAGAGGCACTGGTCACACGGGAACGTCCGATTCGATTCCTCTAAGGGGAATCTGCTTTTGTTCCCATGCATATGATATAGCTTATTATGTTTTACACACACGCGCTCGTACATATGCCTGTCTATATACTCACATATATATACATAACTTTATTGTATCTTAAAGTGATATTTGATCTTAATCAAAATTAATATATACCTTAATATATACCTTAATATACACCTCTTATATATATACCTCTTATTTATATATATATATATACCTCTTATAATATATACCTTAATATTAAGAGTTTTAATTCTACATTTACAACAGCCTCAGGGACTTAATACGACGCACTATATAACAACTAAATTCAATAATTATTATCAAACGATAGCTTTAGTTTAATTTATTTTGGGATATACAGGTTCTTCTTATTTTTACTCACAAATTCTAGATTCACAAGTCGCAAATACCCTATTTCAAATTCTGATATAATGATGCACTCGTGATATATAACGGTATTCTTTCTAACTGCACCCTTCATTCCACGAGAGTGCTGGATGATCAGGAATTTGTCACCGTTACGAAGTACTGTACAGTGTACGGAACACACAGAGACAGACACGCGCACGAACGCACACACGTACACGAGCACGCACGCACACACAACGGGCTTCATTCGCGCAACATTTGTCGCACACATGGCCCCCGTGACACCACATGAGTGACTCTGTACATCAAAAAAATATTATCTTGTTATCCACATACATATTAAATCATATTGTTTGATTTATTTTAACCAATAAATTTTTATTAAAAAATAAGCTTCTTGTGTACCACGCGTTCAATTGTTACCGATAAAACGTCATCACATCGAAATTATCCTGCCATCTATAAACAAGTGATAGGCATAAACAAAGAAATATTTTTGCAGCGCAGCGTTTAAAACAAGTCTATTTATATATTTTGTGATGGTATATCATTGAAACTGCGATTTATATTTACTATTGGATTTGTCCTGCACAACATGCCGTATAAATTGCGTTGCAACGGCCTAATTAGTTTGGCTTCGCTGATTAAGTTTTCCTGTTTACCCCCAAACAAACAGTCAATTGCTCTGCAGTTATGTGTTGTAATTGTATGATTCGTGAGAGCGCCTAGGATTTATCGCAGGAGGCGTATCCGGTATCGCAATGAAACTTATTTTACTCGCCAAGTACACCATGGCGTAGTGGACACATAATAGTGTGTGGATCTGCTAAAAATTAAAATGACGTTCCGTGAATGAATGGAAGCAATACTATTACTATTAGTATTACTAAGAGTAAGAATAAGAATATGTACCTGACTTTGACTGGCATTTGTTGAGTAGAGAGCCGACCGCCACCCTGGCCTCTTTGAAGGTTTTCAGTCGCTGTTATTCGCACAAGATCGTCAGTGATGGTTCACAGGAAGACTGAGTACTGCAAGAAGTACCGCTACCCACTGCCGGACTCCGTCTATGACGCGTACAAGACGCTCATGCGTTACCGCGCTGAGCGCCGGCGTCTGGAGCACCAGCACGTGCCGTTGCCATGGGAATACACGGAGCTCGCGCACAGCAACTCGTCGAGCGGTGACAGCGAGCAGTTTGCGAACGTCGCTCCCAGCAACGGCCCGCTCAAAGCCTGGTACAAGCCGCCGTCGGTCGCGAGCGACCCGGGAATGGCGGCGAAGCCCCGCGTCGCCATGGCAGCAAAGCCCCGCGTCGCCATGGCGACGGAGGAGCTCGCGCGGTGGCAGAGCCATGCGACACAGACGTCGAAGCACGGCGGCAGAGGCTCGCCGGCGCGGCGCGACCAGGCGACACGGACGTACGACGGCGTGGCGAGGGAGCGTGATCCGCCTACGCGCGAGGTGGCGGTGCAGACGCCCGAACGCTGGCATATCAGAGATGCAGATGACGACGTTGATGACAATAAAGACGACGACGACGACCTCAGGTGCAGGAGAGGACGCGAGGTCGTGAGGAGACTGGATTATGAGAACGGAGACGAGTGTTGCCAACCCAGATCCATGCACAGAGGTTACTGTAAAAACAATTTACTAAATGATATAATGAGGTTTAACGAAATTGGTGCACTAAAAATGAAATGCAGAAAATTTAAAGTGTAATTTAATTTTAAGTGTTCATATAAACAGATACCAGTGTACGACTCAACAACTCTAATTCAGACTATCTCGGCGCCTTACGTACCTTGGCTCTATTATGGCTTGAACAATTGCAGTCCTTATCAGTAATGGAAATCTGAAAATCCAGCCAGCCCTGATTTTGAAAATTTGGATTTCTAGCACATAACCTATAGTAAGTTAAAGTGTCCATAAAAATGACCCAGTCCCGCTTTTAAGTTACCAGTCTTGGACTAGGGGGTCAATCTCGAGTTAGTTATATCCCCAGTATATCTGATAGTTATTTCCCGATGCTTGCCTCATGAAGTACACAAACCGTCCCTATTAGAAAGGCAGAGTGAAACTGCCACCTTCAACTGTACATTTGACGTTTTTTTCACTGTCGTAGTGCGGCCGAGCAGTGCCCCGCGCGAGCGAACCAGGAGCGTAAGGTCTGTGTCACGACCCCGCAGTGCCGTTCATGAGAGGAAATGCCCTCACACGCCCCAGACGCCGCTCTTCCTGCCCTACGCCGCATCGGGCGAACAGGCGTCCGTGACGGGAGACCAGAAAACCTACAACGTCTACGCCGACACCAAAGATGTAAGTGTTACGGTTCTGCATGGCATAATGATCATGTAGCATTAGGTGGGGCCACAATTAAAAAAATCTTTGTTTGCCCTCTCCTGACCCAGGCTGAAAAGTTTGGGTAGATCTAGGTAGGCTTCTTTTTTTTGAGGGGGGTCTTTTTACAAATTCAGCATGGTGTCTACATGCTCGGGTGTGCTTGTGGGGAGATATCTTTCGTGTTGAATGTTTGTTTTGCTTGGTACATATAATGTATTGCCTACAGATTTATACGTACAGTGATACAATTTGTAAGCAAAAATGGGAAAGATCAATAAAAAATTTTGAGTCGGCCCTTTTTTGGCGGGTCGGTGGGGTGAGGCCAAACAAACAATATTTTCATTATAGCCTGGTGTACTCTAGATGTTAGATATATACTAGGTCAGGGGTCGAAATTAGCGGTATCCCGATATCCGCGGGATAGTAGATTCTTTTGTTGGATACCAGATTTCAATGCTTGGTATCCCGTCAGGATAGTAAAAAAAAAAATCGTCAAAATCGGGATAGTGGTTGTTGAGTTATCAACTTTATACGGCAGTGCGTTATAGAGCAAGTGCGCGTAATCTGATCATAAATGTGATGCGTATACATTGTATCAAGCGAACCAGACAAAGCGTCTAGACAATACGTCTGCAGTGTACTTGTCTGTGCATATCTGTAAATCTGTTTTCATGTTTTTATATAATAATTACATATTAATAATTTTCAAATGCTATTATTGCATATAAATTTAAAGATTTTGGATACCAACATTGTTGAAATTACTATCCAAAAAATGGGATACCAGATCTTTGGGGGGGATACCAGATTTCAATACCTGGTATCCCGAATGGATACCATAATAAAAATCTAATTTCGACCCCTTTAGGTATGAGCTGGGTCATTTAGATACTCTCACGAACGCTAAACGCAAATGGTATTATAGTTATAATTAATTTTAAATGAACTTGTATCTCATCACCGATCTTGTCGATTTTATGCATGCAGTTATTGCAGTAGTAACCAACGTGTTATTGTGTTTGTGTATAATGCATATAATGTTAATAATAACTTTGTTGTGTTTTTATAACTATGAATGTCGAGTGCACTGGAATGTCTACTTCTTGTCATGTCTTCTAAAGCCACTAGACGGTCTTCGCAGCTCTTTACATCGATCGACAACTTTTCAATCAGCATTGTTGTCATCGAGCTTGCAGATGTCGTGGATTTATATGACTCTGCGTGTGTTAGAGTCGTAGGTGGAGGGAACATGATAGATGGTAATTTCAAAATGTTGCCGACCACTGCAACGATTGACGAAAATCTGAACTGGTGGATTTAGGAGACATGGCGAGAATTAATTATTCTGATGCACTTGATGTCGTTGATTATAAAGTCGAATGGCAGTGATATAAATAATGATATTTGCATTTTACAAGCCTGCTTTATATGTACTCCATGCCTACAACGACTAAGATCAGCAAAGATAGCAAAATTGAACCGTTCTATGATATTTAATGTCATATATATTTGTGGTTAGCATTTGGGTTTATCGCTGACATATATATATATATATGAATATATATATATATTTATATAATGTTGATATGACATATTCCTATATATTCCATTGTTTCTAATTACTGTGGCGAGAGATGAAAATCGTCTTCGGTGTGTCGTTAGCTCAATGCTCGAGTCTCACTGCAGATCCACAAGGCGGCACTGCGGGCACAGAAGCGGCGGGCATCGCAGCGGCAGGAGGGCACGCGACCCAGGTCGGCAAGCGCCGTCGACGACCGGCGGCGTCATGGTGCCGCGTGGAACGAGAACCTCAGCTCCATCTGGCAGCCGATTCGGCGGCAGAGCGAGTACCAGAGCCGATTCTCAGCCTATAACGGACACACGTGGAGATGACGAGGGTAGGACGAAGGCAGCAGCCGCTAACACCTGCCGGAATAACCGACTTGACTAATCCCGAACCGATCCAATGACGGCGCCGTCCGTTTTTTCGTACCGCGGCAGAAAATAATCGTCGACCTGAGCTCGCTTTTCTTGCTCGACGTCGTTTCAGCTCCATTTTGGTTTCATTTCCATTTGGCTCCATTCGTGACATGTAGGGCTGCCATGACTGCGGATAGTTTGGTTTCAGTAAGACGCTTCAGCTAGCAAAGCTACGCGCTTTTTCACGTGTTGGGTTGTTAGTAAACGTGAGGCATACGTCATGTGATTACGTACTGATTATATATCATATGAACTTTGTGCATGTACACCACAATTATCTCACTCTACCGAGGGTATTTGAACAAAATCCCGCATTTTTACACGAATTTTAACATATGCAGGAAATGCTGGTAATTTTTGAAGTAGAGTAGGACTTTATCCTACTGACATCAATCTTACTCGAGGGTATAAAAGTCTGTGTGTCGTCACGTGGACAAAATTTACAAAATTGCATATAGGGTGTGCATGGGCATAACATTGAAAGGTATGAGGCATACATATGATGGCAAATACATGAGGCGAGGTGAGAAGGGGTTCACTGTATACTAGGAACATTGTGTCCTGAGATATTGAAACTAACATTGTTAGGTAGTAATTTGCATATGTTAATAGAATTGGCAAGTAGCAAAGTAGCTAGTGATGAATTATTTAAAAACTATTTAATCTGTCAATTAAATGCACAATCTAGATTACAAGGCGATGGCATAGTAGCAGCTGAACACACTACAATTCACAATCATCTCTCTTTATCGACTGGTGAAGTAACAATGACAATTAATATATGTATTCACAAACGTGAAGCGTTACTCGTATACTCGGATGACATGCAAACGTTCCCGGATGCCATGCTTTCACATTGTGCTGTGTGAAATTCGTAGTCTGTATATCGTGCAACATGAGTCGATGTGTCTTTAATACCATAAAATCGTGGGTGAAATTACGATGTTATATAGGTCAGGGTCTAGTTGTAACCAGTTTTAAACCTCGGTTTGCAACATTGAAAGCTCAGTTTCAAGGAGTACCGGTCGTTCCACCATCATGTTGCGAACAACTGTAGTTTGAATACGAGGCGCATATGCTTGTATAGATTTCTTATTGAGCCAGTGATGTATGAAGCCAAACAGGTCACCACGTCTGTGTCGATGAGCAACTTTAACGCAGCGGCCAGTTGGAAACCGTATCTGTACATACGCGATATAGCATTTAAACGCATTAGGGTAGCTAGCTTGAGCTAGTGGTAGTTATAGAAAGCTATTTATTCAGGTTTGAGTCATTCGCATTGGCCATCGACTTGTGCTACTCAGGGTGAAAATGGTCGAATCGAGACTTCCAGCGTACACTTGATGAAAATGACATGTGACACAGGTACAATTGTGTGCAAACTGTAGGAAATTTAGATATGATTTTTGATCGAGCCCTTAATAAGCTCATATAGGGCCTTTAGGGCATAAACCAACCAATGAGCGTGTATGGTAGAGTAGGTCTTTTTACCTTTTTACTAAGAGTTAACACGTTTTCTCGTGGAACTAGGTTTTACACGATGTATGTCCGTAGGTACTCGCGCGCACGCTGCGTGTACATTAACGTACATGCGTTCTATGAACTCGTACATACGTGTGTTGTGTGAACGTATGCGTGAAACACGTTGTTTTTCCATTTTTTATCACCTCCCCCGGTAGTTTGTAGATACTGCGCACGTTCGTGGGTTTCGTCTTCACACACTAGCAGCGAATTCTGAAACCAGATTTTTACTATACATTTTGTACATTTATTCATGAAATTGTCTCTCTGCCTCTCCCTCCCTCCTCCCTCCCTCCCCTCCCTCCCCTCTCTCTCATCTCTCTCTTCTCTTTCTGTGTGTCCCCCTCTCTCTCCGTCTCTCTCTCTTTCTCTCTCTCTCTCTCTCTTTCTCTCTCTCACTCTCTCTCTCTCTTTCTCACTCTCTCTCTCTTTCTTTGTCTCTGTGTCTGTGTTTGTGTCTCTCTGTAGGATATACTAGGCAGCAGGGCGGGCTGTCATGCGATGGGTGATTAGTGACTCGAGTGTTAGTCGGCAATGCATTTATAATCGGCGGTTTTTAAATATTAACGGGCATCAATCGTCGGCCCCACATCACCAATAGCTGACCTCACCCGCACGGCTGTACAGCGCCGAATCTCATGTTCACTGGTGCTGGGGCATAGAGGGTACAGTAGCGTAAAAGCGTATTTCTTAATTGATTTTGGCTCGTGCCATACCCTTGCATGTGCAATCGTCATAATTAATCATGATGAATGAGTAGGTGGGGGTGTGTGTTGGGGGGGGGGGGCTCACACACATGCACACACACCTGAAATGCCTTCCACTCCAGCTGCTAAGTGTGTGGATTTTAAGTTATGATTGATGGAGTCGCGTGGGGAGACTTGATTGAGGTCGTGAGTGGATGTCTATGCGTAATTTTACCAATGTGCATGAGCGTGTGAGTTTAGTTGATAGTTTTAGCAGGCTCGCCTGCCAATTTTATTATCATTTTTACCTGTTAAGCATTGTAAAGTCTGCACGTTGAGTAAGAGCGAAATACACTAATTTTTATACACGTTTATTGCATCACACGTAGTGGATTTTTACCAGCATTATCGTACATATAGCTTTGTATGTATAATGAGTAGAGATGGGTCGTAGCATAGTTGGCAATACTTATGAGTAAGTATCACTGTGTAGGTTCATGATTTTGAGATATAAACTCGAGATATGTAATCGTATTCTCACCTGGATAGACAGAGAGGCCTGTGTGTCAATTGAGTCGAAGTTGCTCGTTCGTTCTTTTGACGTCCTTTACGCGCAAGTGTGTGCACGCATCTATGTGTAGCAATCGTGACTGTAAGTTTGCAATAAATGAGCAGGACCACAGAGTATTCGAGTAGTGTTAATATTTTTTTATTTTTTAGTTGGTTACGATGTACAAGGCCTCACAATAAGCAGGTGCTAATATAGAGACACTTGCAAATGTGTTGTTCAAAAAGGCATTTTGACATTCGTTTTAGTGGTCAGTTAGCATTCGGACGTGGCCAAATAGTGGCACTGCATGATGTTCGCACTTTTGTGGCAATTTTCCACGAACCGGGTTACAATGTATGTAACGCGATAGAATAAATAATAAATTATTCCTTGCCTAGAAGGACACCAGCGGCTTTTCAGTCGGATATGTCTATAATATTTATGATTTTGATCCTGATATCTGCCGGCATTGAGTACGGAAACGCTGAAGTGATTTGCCGAGAAAAAAGTGAAACTTTTTGTGGTCTACCCGTTTTTGCTGCATTATCCTAGTTGTGCTTTTCCGTGACTTATTCTATAGGTAGCTAAGAAGTCATACGTTTGTGTTTTACCATCATCGACATTAGCAATACGTAACAGAGCCTGTACGTTTCTGATAGTGTCTGTGCGACATATAATTCTCTTGCGGAGCAGTTGGCTCGAATCTTTTCAATGAATTCGTTGTGATATAAATCCCGAATATCTGGCCGTAAGATTCTTTTTATGACGCATTCGGCGTATAATAAATTCGGCGTAAATATATATGGTATATATTTGCGTATAATAAAGAGAAATAATTACCTAGCCAGAAACAAGTATCTATGAGTATGACGATATTTTTTCTTGATTGTGGTCAATCTGTGCAAGGCAGTTGATGTAATAATAGAATATACTAGCTAACTATCACGGACATTGAGGGGCCGTGTCATGCAGCGGTGGTTATGCTTATACTCCATGAGGATTTATTGGTCGTCCAGACGGAATTAAATATCGATCAATTGAGCCAGAGCAAGGCGGTGTAATCGTGAATCAGACAAGTTGTTATTGTATTACACGTGTTTAAGTGGTTCCCAATTTCCTTGTAGTAGTTATGAAAACATTCGCTGCAGACAAGCTATGTGATGGAAATCTAAAAAAAAAAACCGGTACTGTTATAAATTTTTCGTTTGCCCTATTATGCAACGATATAGACACCTTGCATAATTAGATTCCGTGTGACGTAAGAGTCTGTCTAAACCAGAAGCAGAAGATGACGACGACGAAGAGGAAAGTACATTCGATGAAGTTTAACCTGTAAGACTGCATATAGCGTTTATGCACGCGCGTTTGTGTGTGTGCGTGCGTGCGTGCGTGTGTGCGCGCGCGTGTGCGTAAGAAAATAAGTAAACTCGTTGTAATATGAGTGAGGGGAATGGTGCGTGGGTCCATTCCTAGTGTCCCAGGTAGAAAATAGGCCGTTTCCCAATTCCTAGTTAAATAAAATTACTGGGATTTCTGATTGCCTTCTATTCCCAAATCACAAAAGTGTTAGCTGGTACTTCCCAGTTACTAGATGCTCAAAATGGTCCCAATGCCTTTTCCCGGAAATAACCCCACATCTCTAAATACGGGGTTTCCAGAAACGCAATTAGGAGTAAACCTCGTAGGAAGCCGTGTTGTGTGAGTACGGTTTGTTCTGGTGAAGCTTGGAGTACTCTAACGTCTAGGTAGCATGTCCACAAGGCCAGAAGAGAGGGCTTCTTTTTAATTAACTTGCTTACTATACCAGCTAGCTAGCTAAAATACTGAAGCACAAGTATGAACGCTGGGCTACAAGCTTATATATCATTATATTATATCTATATATGTAATATATATATATAATAATACTACTCTTGAATTAAGTCGTACTCGTATAATTGAAGCTGCAAAAGTCTGCTGATAGTGGTGCTTAAGATCCGCAACAATCCGTGCATAGATGGCGCTGCATGGCCATACATTAGGTGTCGCTGTATATTGTCTATAATAGGTACGCACGCTTGTGCACGCACGCACATACACATACGCACTCGCACACACGCGAGCACACAACACATATAAATAATTATATTCTATCGGTGTGTATATTCTATCAACGTGTTATTTGTAACCATGGTAATCTTAGCCCGTATAACGTTATACTGGATACGGGTTCTACGTTTGTGTAACTTTATACGTTCAGCGTAATTGCTTCCAGCGCAAAGAAATGCCGCTAACATCAAATTTGCATATTTAAATTACTTGCGTTATGTGTAAACACGAAAGGTTATCGGGCAAATGAGCCTGTTCACGCATGAATTATACCTATCACTTGTTAAAAATGCCACAGAGAGCAATCGTAAAGTGGGAAAAATAGTCTTTCCCGCACAGAAGTCGACGGCGTCCAGGAATTCATCCTGAATGAGCGAGGCAGTCACGTGCGTGCCTGCCAACCCACGTGAGTTTGAGCCCGTTCTAATAATGAAATGATAGTAAATAAATGCGAATTATGTTTACTGCCATCCTCTTAATGTCTATGTACTCTCCATCACCTAATCGTTCTACTTGGACGCTGTTCAAAGGTGACACGGTATGACCGCACGCACGTCTCTATATGCACAGACGCACAACAAGAGGTAGGGTATTCATATACTTACTATCAGAAGTGAATAAAAACAAAAAAACAATTTTATTTTTATTCAATCCTAAAACTATATAATTCGTATTTATTTACTATCATTTTAATAGGACATCGTCGTTATATTGTTATTAATACCATTATAGTTATTTATTTATTTATTTTATCTATATTATTGGAAGCAAAGTACGCTTTTGCTAACTTGCTGTTGGTTACGTGACCGCGTGTCGACGTGTATGTAACATCGAGGGGCGTGCGAAACATGTCCAATTTGTCGGATAAATAATTAATAGGGAAGAGTAAACGATTCCCCCGCAGGCCAACTTACGGTCGGTTGTCAGTGAAGGCGCCACTCGTGTTTAAATGACTGCCGTGTGTAAACATCGACGTTATAAGGCGTCGCGGCCAATGCTGCATGCTGCTGAATCTATATGTTGCGTGCTGTTGTATGCAATTCCTCTGCTGCTCTTGCTGACTGTATGCTACGGATGTATGTTGCATATATACTATATAATACATACTATCAAGAGCCCATTAACATCATTATTATCATTATTATTATTATCATTATTAAGAGGTTAATGGTCTCTTTTCAGAGCCATTAACATCATATTTCATTTATGTCATTATTAATCATATTTAAGAGGTGTTAATGAAATCTGCTTGATCTATATACGTATATAATATATATATATATATGTGTCGGTGTGTGCGTGCGTGCGTGCGTGCGGTGTGCGTGTGTGCGTGCGCGCGCGCGCGTGTGTGTGTGTGCGTGCCATCTCGCATCTCTACCGATATAAATATTCGGCAAATTCATAATTGATTATATCGTATCCACTTTGAGTGTATATAGTGATTATTCCCACCACACTTCGTGTCCTCTCGCCGCAAGGAATCGCTCTCTGTACGAGGCCGAGCCACGAGAAAATTCCTCGCAAAATTTCTCCACGCAAATACTGTTTGTTCGCGCTGGTTTTCGATCGCTATTACTAGTAGTACCGTAACTAGCTGGGTGGTTTCTCTTGCGATGCTTGGCACATATATGTATGAATACATGCATGACATGTATCTCGGCTGCGAATTTCCCACTTTGGGCGTGTTTATATAGCTGCCTAGATAGATGAGGGCAAAAAGTATCACACGCTGCGCGTAATTTCAGCAAACGCCATCTCGTATCTCTTTCTCTCTCTCTCTCTCTCTCTCTCTCTCTCTCGGTCTCTCTCATTACTCTCTCTCTCTCATCTTCTTCTCCTCTCTCTTCTCTCATCTCCTGCTCTCTCTCTCTCTCTTCGTTCTCTCTCTCTCTCTCTCGTTATCTCTCTCTTCTCTCTCATCTCTCTCCTCTCTCTCTTTCTTTCTCTCTCTCTAC